GCAGCCTTTGTTTAAAAAAAAAAAAAAAAACAAACACAAACAGACATACAGACAGGCAGAGGTGGCCCGGTGGGGCAGGGGCCGCCCGCCCATGCTTTGTTTGGTTCCTGACACCAGAGAGGTTCAAGTAGCCGAAAAGGTTCAAGTTCACCATAAGGCACTTTAAAGCCATGACGGGAGCAGAGCCCCCCCGGCCCCATCACCCCTCCCGGCATCCCATGGCAAGGGACAGATGTGGGGGCCGGGCAGCGCTGGTGGTTGGCAGCGGAGGGGCTGTGGGAGGGAATATATTACATCATCTTTTTTTAAATATAGATAAAACTCTTATTGTAGACAAATAGTGCCGGTCCCCTACACCCCCGAGAGGCTGYGCCCTGCGGGGGGCATGTGCAAAGGACAGAGGGGTGACCGTGGGGGCCTGGCCACCCCAGGGAAGGGGGGTCCCACAGGGCCAGGGGATTTCAGAAGGGGAAAGGGTCCGGGGGGGGCCGGGGCTGCCCCACACCCGGGTGGGCTCACCCAAATAGTGCAACCAAGAGAAAGCAGCCGGGAGTGCAGGGGCGAGGGGGGCTCGCCGGGGAGGGGCTGCTCGGAGTGGGGAGGTGGGGACAAGCTATGCACAGCGCAGGGCAGTGGCTCCCCCACACTGGGGAGAGCATGGGGGGCTCTCCCCAACTGGGGAGGGGGCTCGGTCCATGGGTGCCCCTGCCCGGTCCTGGCATCCACCAGGGGTTTGGTGGAGGGACATCCAAGTCCCAAACCCCCTTCACCCACCTGGGCATGACCAGGTGGGCCCGGGCATGGTGGCGAGTGGTAGGGGCCCCCCACCCCCTTGTGCAAATCGGCCGAGGGGAGTTTCCCCCTTTGCATAACTAGGAATGAACCGTGACGGGAAAAACAGGAACAGAAACCCCAGCGGGCACGGCACAGCTCGGCACGGCACGGCACGACACCTGCCGTTGCACCGGCTCTATGCCGTCTCCACCGGCACAGCGCTATCTGGCTGCGGCCCTTCCTCGGCCTCCGGCTCCTCTTCCTCCTCCTCGGGCTGCCCTGGAGGCCAGTAGCGGGAAATGGAGAGGCGCAGCCCCTCCAGCCGCCCGTTGGAGAAGTCGAGGCCGGGGGGCCCCGCGGGCGGCGGGGGCGGCTCATCGCGGCGGCGGCGGCGGGTCCGCACCTCCAGGCAGTTCTGGCCCTTGAGGTGCCGCTGGAGGTGGTCATCCTTGGCGAAGGCCTTGTGGCAGAGGTAGCACTCGTAGGGCCGGGCGCCTGTGTGCAGGTGCATGTGGTTCTTCAGGTCGTAGCTGTGCAGGAAGCGGGCGCTGCAGTGCTGGCAGGAGTAGGGCCGCTCACCCGTGTGCTTCCGCATGTGGATCTTCAGCTTGTCGTTCCTAAAGTTGAGACATTGGAGATATTGGCATTGGGAAGCCAACATGGCACCCAGCCACGGCGGGGAGGGCAATAGTGTGGAGAGCCCCACAGCAGGGATGCTCTGGGTGCTCCATGGGGCATTGTACATCTGCATGGCTGAACAGGAGCTGGGTGCTGGCAGGGGGGACGCTGCTGGATACCCTGCATTGATCTGACAGCGCTTAGGGCAGAAGAGCCCCTGGACCTGCACCAAACCGGGCCAGGGCTGGTAAAGGAGGCGTTAGGGGTGCCATCAGCTATCAGGCCTTGGTTGATCTGGCAGGACTCACAGAGCGCAGAACRCCCCATTGAGCTGTCTTCACCAGCAGGGATGGAAGAGGGGCACCACAAGGGATAGAACTGGGTACCCTGGGTCAGTACAGCAGCACCCATGAACCCATGAATCCCACTGCACCACAAAAGGGCTTGCAGGGGGTGCCATTCAGTACCCTCTGTTGGTGCAGAGCACTCATGGGGTGCAGAGGATGCTCTGGAACTGCACTGCACTGACAGGACTGGCAGAGGGGTGCTATGCAGTTGCCATCAGGTACCCCAGTTCAGTCCTGCAGCACTCAGGGGATCCAGCCCTGGCAGGACTGGCAGAGGGGTGCCATGCAGTTGCCACCAGGTACCCCAGTTCGGTCCAGCAGCACTCAGGGGATCCAGCCCTGGCAGGACTGGCAGAGGGGTGCTATGCAGTTGCCATCAGGTACCCCAATTCAGTCCAGCAGCACTCAGGGGATCCAGCCCTGGCAGGACTGGCAGAGGCAGTGCCACAGGGATGTAATTTGGTACACGTCAGGCAGGGTCCTTCCAGCAGCACTCACCGCGTGAATCGAACTCCGCAGACCTGGCAGGCGAAGGGCTTCTCCCCCGTGTGCGTGCGCATGTGGCGAGGCAGTTTGCCGGCACCATGGATGACCTTGTGGCAGACAGGGCACTCCTGGGGCATCTGTGAGCGGCGTTTCCGCACCAGCTTGTCCGGGCTGTCCAGCCCAGGCGCCAACGACTCGTGGTGCAGCGAGCTCAGATAWGCCATCAGGTCGGGGTCGATGGCATCATCGTCAGAGGCGGCCTCCTCAGGGGACAGCGGSGGTTGGTAGGGGAAGGGGAAGGGGTGTGGGGGCAGCTCCTCCTCTTCGGGCAGCTCAAAGCTATCATAGGGCAGGGGCAGCCCCTCGGGCAGCGGGGGCGAGGGCAGTGCTGGCGGCGGTGGGGGGCTGCCGCAGCCCTCAGCCTCAGTGGCTGGCTCCTCGGCGTGGTTGTTGAGCCGGGCACCGCGGGCTTGCAGGAACTTGCGGGTCTTCTTGCTGCGGCGGGCGGTGGGGCGGGGGGGTGGCGGGGCCGGCACCTCTCCCTCGGGGAGGGCGGAGAAAGCCTCCAGGTAGCGGCGGGCGCGTTCGCAGTCGCCATCATCGGGGCCGGGAGCCTCCAGCCCGCTGCCCTGCAGGATCTCCACGCAGGCAGCGATGACACAGGGGATCTCCAGCAGCCGGGCAGCACGCAGCACCTCGCCCATGTTGGCGCTGCTGATGGTCAGCGTGGCTGTGTACGCAAACTCCAGCAGCGCGCCCAGCGCCTCCGGCCCCACAAAGTCCAACTCACAGACCTCCTGCCCTGGCCCCGGCCCTGCGAACAGCTTCTTGAAGTAGCGGCTGGAGGCGGCCAGGACGGCACGGTGGGTGCGGTACTCCAGCCCCTGGGTCTTGATGGTGACRTCGCAGAGCAGCCCCAGCTGCCGTTGCTCGTTCAAGCAGCTCAGCAGCTCGCTGCTGTGCTCAGGGAAGGGAATGCCGATCAGATCGTCCTCTGGGCTGGCCATTGTCCTCACCTGCAGGAAGGAGAGGATGCTGCCTGTACAGGAACCACCTGGGAGACAGCACTTGGAAGAAATACTGCAGCTGGAACATCGCCGTCATGAAAGCCGGGGCACAAGGAACCCTTCGTGTACCTGCTGGGTGGCACTGGGGTTTCGGTGGGACACTGAACCGGGGCAGGCTCGGGGGCTGCGGTCTGCCCTCAGTCCCCTGCATGCTGTGTCGAGGTTGGCGGGCACAGGCCCCCCGCCACAGGCCCCCACACTTCCTTCACTGCCASCAGCACCCAGCCGCCTGCGCTGCCACAGCAAAGGGGGAAATCTCAGCATGGTGCCTTTGAACAGCACCAAGGTGCAGCGCTTCCTGTGCCAGCCCACCCACAACCCTCCTCAGCCCCCTGTCATGGCCAGGCGAAGCCACCAGCTCGCAGCAAGCTAATCCTGGGAACGCGGGCCTYGCTGGCAGCAGGCACAGGTGGGCGGGTGAGTGCTGGGAAGAGCACCCCGAGGGCCGGGGGCCGCCCCATGGAGCCCAGCTGGGCTGGGAACAGGGGCCACACTTCCTGCCACCGCAGATTAGGATCAGCACTAGCGCCGCCGGTTCCTGCCCCCGCTCCTGGTGGGGACTGGGCCCCCTCCCTCCCCCTGTGCTCCAGCCCGGGGCCACTCCTCGCCCAGCCAAGCCCAGCCTGCGCCAGTCAGGCCTTTCCCACGCTGCGGCTGGCAGAGCTTGGCCTCAGCCCTAAACCCAGCACTGCTCACACTCCCAGCTGTGGTGCAGCACCAGGGACCCCCATGTTCCTGTGGTGCCAGAACAGGTGGGAAGGGGGAGCCCATGACCCTCACAACCTGCAGCCAGGGTGAAAGAAGCAATGGCAGCTGCGAGGCTGCAACCTGCCCTGTGTCACCMTGTCCAGCTATGGGCAATGCCCTTGCAGCCATCTGGGCACCCTGGGGCTGCTGGGTGACACTGGCACTGCTGGGTGACAGTGGGATGGGAGCCCAGCGACTGCAGCCTGGGGGAGGCTGAGGTGGTACCAGCACTGCCACACTGCGRCTCTTGGCGTTGACAGAGCTGTGCCATGCCAAGCCAAGCCACGGTGGACGGTGGCACGTAACGCTGGCCATAGTCAAGCCRTGCCAGGCAACGCTGAGCCACGCCAGGCCCATCCACCCCAAACCCACCAGGCCATGCCAAGCCACACGGTGCCGTCGGCAGGCGGGCGCGGGGGACATGCCCCCTCTTGCCCATGGAGGGGCGGCGCGGCCGACGGCCCCCGGCACAGGGGCCCATCCCCAAGCCGGCCGCTCCCTGTGCTTGGGCGGCCGCCAGCTGGGGCTGCCTCGGCAGGCAGCTGGGAACTGGGAACGGCCCCGGAGCAACCGGCTGCGGAGCCGCCCCAGCCGCTGCCGAGCAGGCCCGACCGGCGTGGCAGGCGGCAGCCGCCCCTGAAACCGGGAGCCAGGCAGTGCCGACCGCCTGGGACGTTGGCGCCAGCGCCCGTGGCCAAGCCCCCCTCCTTGGCAGGAGCCCATCCCAGCGCCGGTTGGGGTCCCCTCTGCCTGCCGAAGCGAGGGTGATCGGATTAGGGGTGATTAAACCATCAGGGCCCTGGGAGCCAACAGGCAGTGACAGCCCCCAGTGGGATTAGGCAGGATTAGCTGCAGGGGCAGGATTAAGTGGGGGGGGCAAGTACCCCATGCCACAGCTTGGGCAGCTGGAGAGGCATGACAGGGATGTGGCACCTGCCAACGGTGGCCACAGACCCCCAGGACAGTCACAGGCAATAGTCACAGTGTAGGGTGGCACTGTGTCCTCCAACACTGCCCCCCCAGCAATGGCACTGGGACAGCCTCCCTTCTGCCCTGGTCACCACAGCACCTCCGGCCCCACAACACACCTGAGTACTCACAAGACCAATGGCATCCACTGGCACCTGCCTGTGGGCACAGGGCAGCAGTTGGGGCACCATCATATCCCAGTGGGTGGTAGGTGCTCCAAGGAGCAGGCACAGCCACCAGCCACACCACGTCACAGGTGGGCACAGCCTCAGTGCCTCCAATACCACAGAACCCATCAGCAGAGGTCTCATAAGGAGCTGGGACCCCTGAGAACAGCCACAGGACCTGACACAASTGCAGGGCTGGGGCAGAGCGGGGGCGAGCGAGGTGGCGGTGGCAGGAGGGGGATTTTCCATCGCASCAGCCCGCCCGTTACGGCTCCTTTGCTGACACCCCCACCCCCCCGCACATCCTCCTCACTGGAGTGAAGTCACATGCTGAGCGGCTGCTGCCGTCGAGGAGATCACCGCAGTGATAAGGAAATGGCGGAGGATGAGGTGTGAGGGGCCTGGAGCCGCCCCGGCCCCCCAGCATTCCCTGGTGGTGCTGGAGATGATGGCTGGGACGGAGCAGGTGGTGATGCCGTGCCCTCGCCGTGCCAAAGCTTTCTCAGTTATGCCAGCGCTGTGGCTGGGCACATTTCGCCCGCAGCAGCCGAACAGGACTGAGGAAAGGGGGAGTTGGTCCCCRTGCTGAGCTGGCTCCCATGCAAGGCGGGTGGCAGCAGGAACAATGCCTGCCCGGGTCACCCTGACATCCCTCTGCCAGCCCATGGTGCCAGGCTCCACCCACCTGCCAGCTGCCTCCATCCCAGGGGTCCAGAGCCATGGACATGGGGTGGGGCTCCTACAGCATCCATCCTGCATGGGGATAAGCCGTGTCCCATGCCACCAAGCCAGGATGGCATCCTGGGTGAGAGCAGAGTGCCAGCCTGCGCTGARCACTGGGCCACAGCTTGGGGTTGGTGAGTTGTGAGATGGAGAGGGGTGTTTGGGGGGTTCTCTCGACCTGTTCCCCCATGGGGAAGGTGGGCAGAGGTCCTGGGGTGCACAGTCCCCACYCTGGGCTGCTGCCATGTGCCCCTGCTTTTGGTCACGAGAGTCACAAATGCTGTCGAGGGACTTGACAGGCACAATGGGGAATATGAGTCACCCAGGAAGGGGAGCGCAGMATAGTGTCTCCCCAGCCCTCACCCTGTGGGGCCCCCTCACCCTTTGGGAGCGAGGATGGGGAGCCAGGAGTCCRGGCTGTGAACCCCCCCATCCTGCTACTGCCCTGCCTGAAGCCAACGGGGACTAGCAGTGGCCCTGGAGTGGATGGCCACAGTGTGGAGGGTGAGGTGGCTGCAGGGCAGGGGCTGTGCAGCCCCTCTGTCWGCCCAGCAGGGAAAAGAGTGGCCAGGGTCTGGCTCAACCGGTGACTTTAACAGGAACATGAGGGGGTCCGATTGCTGGAGGGAGTGGGGAAAGCAGCACTGCTCTTTGAAAGAAGAGAAGAATGAGCAGAGACAAAAGGAAACAGTTTGGAGATGAAAGAGGATAAACAGTCCCCCACCCCTCGCACTGAGAGTGAGCCCCATGGCACTGTCCAAGCCCCCTGATGCTAGCCAGCTCACCCACAAAGCTCTGTGTGCTGCGTAGCCATGGCACATTAGCCACTGGCATTGAGAAGGGGGCAGGAGCGCTGTGGCCCAGGGCTGCCTCAGCACCCATTCAGCACACACCTGGGGCACAGTGCCAGCCCGGCGCGATAGCTGTCATGGAGGCTGGGCACAGACATCCCTGTCACAGCACAGCAGGACTGGAGACACTGCCAGAGCTGCTCTGGCACCTGCGGCAGGGACGAGAAGCAAAGTCCCCATGCCGCCCACCCACCCCACTGGGACTGTGCTGGCAYCCTGGCCCCCTCCTGCTGCCAAAACCCACCCCGCTGCCACATCCGGCTGCCTGGCATTGCCACTGCGGGGTGTGGGCCCTGCTCTGCCCAACCAAAGTGACCCAGATCTCGCCCGTCGTCCTTTTCCGTCCCATCCCATCCCATCCCATCCCATCCCATCCCATCCCATCCCATCCCATCCCATCCCAATAGCAGCAAGGGTGGCTTAGGGCTCAGGCAATGCCAACATCCCACAGCCTGCCGGTGCCAAAGCAGCCGGCTCAGCTCGCCGTGTGCCCAGGGTGCCACGCTGGGTGCCCACCACCCTGGCAAATTCCTCCACCGTGCCGGTGTGAGGGCAGGGTGGGCGTGTGGCTCACCTGCCCCGTGTCCTGGCGTGGCTCCGCGCTGCGTCGCGGCCGGGCTGCCGGCCCGTGAGTGGCAGGGAGGGGAAGGCAGGGTGCTGTGTGAACTTGGCCCCGCTCCCCGCTGCACTTGAGCTCAGGATCCCACCTCAAAAGGAGTCGACGCCCACACCCCGGGTCACGCACCTCCCAGCCCCGCTTCCCAGAACACACACAGCATTAACCCTTTGCGGCCGGTACTGCGCTGCGGGGCGCCGACCCGGAACCAGGCAGGGGGCATCCCGTGGCCCACTCCCACGGGAGAAAACTCCCATTGCTGCCAGGACAGGCACCCCGTACCATAAAGCATCCCTTCCCCACCGCTGGCACTGTCTCAGAGCCACCTGCCCCTGCCCCCCACACCGACGCATCACACAGGCCCTCACCTTGTCCCCCGCCCCAAGGCAGGGCGCTGGGTGCTCGCCACTGGGCGCTCGCCACTGGGCGCTCGCCACTGGGTGCTCGCCACTGGGCGCTCGCCACTGGGTGCTCGCCACTGGGTGCTCGCCACTGGCCGTGGCCAGCCTGGCCGGGCTGGGAGGGCGCCTGCGCTTGGCGGGAGCAGGGCTGGGCTTGGTGCTGCGTGCTGCGGCCTGCCCGGCCAGCCCTGGAGCCACCCCCCCGCCCCCCATCCYATGGATTCCTGTCCTGCTCTACCCTTGGAGCGGGTTCCTGAGGTCCCCTGGGGAATGTGGGAAGCASCAACAGCCCAGCTGGACTGTGCTGCCTGATCCCCTCCATTCCCTGGGCAGGGGCACTCGCGGGCCCCCCCGGCCAAGGCTGCACGTTCGCGCAATCCCCCCATAATTACACCCTCTGCGTCCCCAGCTAAACAGCAATTAGCAGCCTGGAGAGCGCGCCCCACACCCCACCACCAGCACCAGCACCCGCCCAGGCCACCCACGCCAGGCTGGTCAGGGGCACCTGCACTGGAGCACCCTGCTATGGGCCTGGATGGGCTCCAGGCACCACGCTGGGGCTGTCTGTAGCAGAAAGCCAGGCAGAAAGGGGAAGAGCCCCAGCTGGACCCAAGGGGTCTCTGGCTCAGCCCCAGCAATGCTCATGGAAAGAGCTGGGTGGTGCAAGAGCCCATGGGGAGGCAGTGGAGATGGCAGGTGGGCAGAGGGGCATCACCAACATGGTGTTCCACCTCCCCCATCACTGTGGACCGTGTACTGGGCAGGAGCCGGCTGTGGTACCAGGGGCTGCCCAGTGCCCAGAGCACAGGCAGCACACTGCCAGCAGCAGCAGGGGTGTGGGCAGCATTGCCCACCGCACTGCCACAATGCTTCAGGCTGCCCAGCTGCCCCAGCAGAGGACACGGCCCTGGACAGCGTCTGTGAGAGGGGGGAAGGACAGCAGGAAGGGAGAGMGGGAGGGAGGGATGTGGCACCTGCTGCCAACCCTTCCCCTGCCCTTTGTTCCCCATAAAGGAGGGGAACGGCGCCAGTCCCCCCTGGCCCAGGTGTGCCAGGTGCTAAGGGCGGGAGATAAGGTGGGCGAGGCGGGCAGGGAGGGGCACGGCACAGCATGGGCACGCAGCCCTGACTCAGGGTTCCTACTGGTGGCCAGGCTGGGCTGAGTCACACGGCCCCCCCACCCTGGGGGTGTTGCAACCACCCAGGCACTGGCCACAAACTGCTGCTTGCCCCGGCTGGGGGCATACCCAGAGGGCCATGTGGGGAGGTGCTGGCCTTTGGGGAAGATGGGCTAACCCTCATCCATCCCTCCATCCCTCCCTCCCTCCCTCCCTCCCTCCATCCTCTTCGTTCCATCCTTGCCTCGGTCAGTGGCACCCTGACAAGCATCAGGGTGATGGGATATGGCCACATCCCAGCTCTTCTTCCAACAGCAGGACGGGTAACCTCCTCTCCTGCATCCCATCCTCACACAGACCAGCACCCTGACCTGCCAGGGCATGGGTGCCATGGCCACATGCTTGTCCAGGACAGATGTGGCCAAGGGCATGTGGCCTCTGCGTGTCACCCCTGGCCCTCCCAATGTGCCAGGGAGATGGCTGAGGCACAGGGG